CACATTATGTGTTGCCTCAACCTCATAAAATCTTAAAAATAATGATATGGGTCCTCATTATGATTTCCATAAAATGTGGGTAACATTTGAAATATCTCAGATTTAATGTCATGCTACACACCAAGTATTGCAAGAATTCTATGCTTGTAGGTGGGTTAAAATAATCTTTCAACTGCTTATGTAGATTCTTTATATCATTGGATTCTATCTCCATATTCAGATGTTTTTTCTAAAATGGAAAGGCAGTTTAATTTTAAGAATATGTTTTGTAATTTGACATTTCAAGGATTTCCATGTATGCATCACTAAAAGGTTTTACTTTTTGTATCCAAAGTTTTGGAGAGAGTGTATTTCAAGAAACTAAACTTCAAACCAAATAGACAAGGAAATAAACTAGTCTACATAGAAAAAGGAAAATTTCTATAAAACATAAAAATAAAGGTAAACAAGATGAACCTGCACATAATACATTTTGGTGTTTAGAGAGAGGAGTGTCACCATTATTCTTGCTCAACCTATAAATTCTGATGTATGCCAATTGTGCAACTCACCACTGATTTTGCTTGGTTGTAAATTTCTTCTTGTCCATCTTTTTTTAAGTCTTCATGTAAAAACAAATTAAAAAATGATTATTATACAGGAGAACAGATCATCAATACTACACTAAGCTAGTTGTCCTTGGCAAGAATGCTAGAACTTTTTCAATATTTTAGTCCTTGAATTACAATGAGTCAAATTCAATACTTATCTTTGAACTCAAATACAAGAAATCAGTCTTAAGCTTTTAGTAGTTTAAGTTGATTCACAGGGACAACTACCAGTTGGATTGATTCACATTCTCTACTTAAGGTGACATTAAATTCCACCTGAAGACATTATGAACACAAAGTCAAACTCAACCCAAAGCAAAACTATCCCTAGATGTCACGTAAGAATGAAGATAAATAAAATGAAATGAACAGACAATAAAATGAAAACGAAATGCTCTATCTATCACTCAAGAAGGGACTTCAATCTGTGGAATAAGTTTTCTAATAGCCATAAAGTAACGAAACTAAGAACCTACTCTAGCTATGTGTTTGTCACTCACATCACTAAGATAGCGAAACCTCAAAACTAATGCACAAATTGAAACAAAAAAAATCAGTTTTTGGACCTACCCTTTTTCCTTTACTCCTCACATTATTAGTCATTCAAGAGGAGAGCATGGTTTCTAGAAGAGGGAAATCAGAGTGCTATTGCACTACATAGACATTGCCACTGTCCTTAGCTCCTCACTCCATCACCGCCATCCTTATTGTTGTAAACACTGCAGCCACCACTGTCACACCTAGCTCCTCCTCTATCTATGATTCAAGACAAAAGATCACAGCCACTATCAATGTTCGCTGCTGCCACTATAACATCACCACCAAGCTCAGCTCGTCCTCTACTTGTCATGCAAGAGGAGAGCTCATAGTTGCCATCACCTTCTACCATCATCACTGGCCCTGTTGTAGCTATCACCACCATCTCTACCTGTCCTGTAGAGGGAAAAAACCCACTGATAAGTCTTCATTATCATGAGTTAATAATTAGTAAATAATATAGTTTTAGCCTTAACTGATGATAAATAGACTTATATTTGTGTTAAAGTGTGAAAAGTGGTTTTCAGTTGATTAACGTGAATTTTTGGGTAATTATGTGATTTTATACGATTTTTACAGTCTTACTTTTGAGATAAATGAAGAACAAGAAATAAAAATAAAAATATTGCAAAATGGGGGGACCCGCCGGCCAGCCGGGCCCGCAAGCAGGTCGGAAGCGCAGTCGGGAGTAGCCGCGAGTAGGGACTTGAGCGGCTTAGCTTGGACCGATAGGGGCATGTGTGCGCCACTCCCCTTCCACGTCACCGGTGGCCAGCCGGCTGTGGGGCAAGGAGTGGTCGTACACGCGAGAGAAGTGACTTTGCTTCCGAAGCTAACATTACTATATATTCGCCCGAAAAATCGGCGCACAACCGATGTGGGACTAAACCCGCGTCACACCTTCCTCACAGGCGGGCGACCGGCGCGGGTTCGAATCCTCCCAGAGTCAAAATTCATATCTTTTTATCTGATTATCGCGACTTTCTTGCAGATCGCCAGTGAAGGATTAAGCAACTAGAATCGCTGGATCATCGGCGAAAATCTCATCAATGCGATTCACGGAGCATTGCTACTAAAATTGCTGAACGATTCGCAATAAAAGGATCGCGAATCCATCGAGTAAATCATCTCCGATTGATCGACGAACAAGCCGTCGTCGGGAAGAGGACGATCCGCTGGGAGACGAGTCGCCACCTCCTGAGAGCGTACCAGATGCGATGAAGAGCCTCCTCTTGCTGCGCGGACCTGAGGATGAAGCTCCCTGACACGCGCCCCACCTCCATCCAGCTCCTCTCCGTCGGGTGACAGCCGCTGGAGAGCCGCAAAGTCGCCGTTTTTCCGCTCCGCCGGGTGACAGCCGCCGGAGACGATTCGACGACCCACTTCATTGATCTCTAGACTTCGCGAGAAGATCTAGAGATTGCCCACGTCGTCTTTGTCCAAGGAGAGCGAGGCCGTGGACACTGCACGACGATCCTCCCGAACGCTCAGGATTCCGGTGCATCGCCGACGCATCGCCGTCGCGACGCCGGAACTCTATTTTCCTGCTTTCAATTTACTTTACACTTCATTTAGTGATAATTTTTGTGTTTTTAAGTTACCAAAATATACTTTGTTCAATTACGATTCTTCCGGCTTTTACAGATCTTAATTTGATTAATTAAATCGTATGTAATCGCTTACGCAAGAATCGCCGGGCGGAACTCTATTTCCGCCCGATTCGCGTTCGCCAGGCGCTGATGTCATCTTGACATCCGCGTCCTTATTTCCTTTTTTTTCGTGAATTTTAAATATATTTCCTTCTTATTTCCTAGTATAAAATTCATAGAAAATCGTATTCATTGAGAAAAATTCTGAATAATTACCAAATATTATATTACATCCCTGTGATCGACCTGGAAAATTACCACTATTTTTGGAATTTTTATTGAATTATAATTGATATATTTATTTAGAAATACTTCTAAATATCCAAAAATTCGTATTTTCTAGTTTTATAAATTTTATATTTGCGTGATTTAATATACAACGACTGAGTCACGTCACCCACCATTGTCCCATCCCTAGCTCATGACTAGTCCCCTTTCTCTCTCTATCTCTCTTCTCTTTTGTATCTTGACGTGACTTAGTCATTACATAGTAAATCATGTAAATTTAAAATTTATAAAATACTAATTTTTAGATATTTAGAAGTATTTCTAAATAAATTTATCAATTATAATTTAATAAAACTTTAAAAAATAGTGATAATTTTTCAGATTGATCACAAGGATGTAATATAATATTGAACAATTTTTTAGAATTTTTCTCAAATAATATAATTTTTTAAAATTTTATACTAAGAAATGAAAATAAAATATATTTAAAATTTACAAAAAGTAAGGGTGCAGAAGTCAGGATGATGTCAGCACCCGACAAATGTAAATCGGGCAAAAACAAAGTTCCACTCAATGATTCTTACGTAAGTAATTACAAACGATTTAATTGATCAAATTAAGATCTATAAAAGCCGAAATAATCATAATTGAATTAAGTATAGTTTGATAAATTTAAATCACACAAATTATTACTAAATGAAGTAAAAATTAAGTTAAAAATAGGAAAATAGAGTTCCGACGTTGAGAATGCATCGACAATGCACTAGAATCCTAAGCATTTTGGAAGATCATTGTGTAGTGTCCATAGCTTTGAAGGCTCTCCTTACACAAGAATAATGTGGACAATCTCTAAATCTCTTTGTGAAGTCTAGAGATCAATGAAATGAGTTGTTGAATCATCTCCGGCGGTTGTTACCTGGCGGAACAGAAAAATGACGACTTTGTGGCTCTCCAACGACTGACACCCCATAGAGAAGAGCTGGATGAAAGTGGGATGTGTGTCAAGGAGCTTCATCCTCAAGTCCACACAGCAAGAGGAGGATCTTCATCACATCTAGTATGCTTTCAAAAGGTGGCAACTTGTCTCCTGTAGATCGTCCTCTTCCCAATGACAACTTATTTGTCGATGAATCGGAGATGATTTACTTGATGGATTCGTGATCCTTTTGTTGCGAATCGTTCAGCAATTTTAGTAAAAATACTCCGCGAATCGCATTGACGATATTTTCGCTGATGATCCAATGATTCTAGTAGCTTAATCTTTTACCGGTGATCTACAACAAAGTCACAATAATCAAATAAAAATACGAGTTTTGGCTCTAGGAGGATTTGAACCTGTGCCGGTTGCCCACCTATATGAGAAAGATTGAAATAAGTACTCTAATGTCCTTATCAAGTGATGTCATTATGGTATATCTTTGTTATAACTAAGGGGTAATTTAGGTATTAAAATCTTCGAAGCCTTTCGAGAAAAGGTGTGACACGAGTTTAGTCCCACATCGCTTATGCGCCAAAGTTTTGGGCGAATATATAGTAATATCACATTTTTTAGTAATTAGTCATTTTCTCCTGCGTGTACGACTACTCTTGGCCCCACAATCTGATGGCCACCAGTGACGTGGAAGGAGAGTGGTACACACGTGCCCCCATCAGTCCTAGCTTCTCAAGCCCCTACTCATGGCTCCCCTTGATTGTGCTTCCAACCCGCTTACAGGCCTGGTTGGTCCGCAGGTCCCCCCCTTTGCTATATTTTTATTTTAAATTCTTTTTCTTTATTTATCTCAAAAATAGGACTATAAGAATCATATAAATTTGTAGAAAATCACATAATTAGCCAAAAATTCATGTTAATCAACTGAAAACTACTTTTCACAGTTTAACACAAATAGAAGTCTATTTATCATGAGTTAAGGTTAAAACTATATTATTTACTAATTATTAACTCATGATGAGGAAGACTTATCATACCTCTCTTCAATGAGCCTCAAAATTTAGGTCATGTGGCTGGTCTATTAATAGAGTATCTTGAGTCTTCTTCATCAAGTTTAGTACATATATTTCTCAAGGTGATGAACTCGATTTAGAAGTTAGATATGTCATCGTGATGTAACTAAATTTATGTAAATAATATTTATAAAAGCTCACTCTTCTACTTAGGATAAGTAAGGGTTGATCTAGGGAGTGTGGATAATGAGAGTAAAAATTTTAGTTATTTTATTTCTTATATATACATAGATATACTTAAGATTGTGAAGGGCGAAATTAAATCTAAAAAATATAAAGATAAGAGAAATAGAAAGTGTGACAAAAAGGAGAGAATGAATCTAACACAATGGAATGATAAAATAAATGGTCAAACTAATCTAAACTAAAAGTTAATCTATTCACGAAGAAGATTACAAGGACGAAAAAGTCCCATATCCAAATCTTGCACATACCTCGTTGTGTACCAGTCCTAAGCCTAGTAGTGCTTGATCCACGACAATCTTGAAGCGCTCCAAGTAATCTCTTCTCCACGACGATCTTGAGCACGAGAATACCATTGATCAGGTCTTGATTTCCTTCCTTTTTCCTTCAACTAGCCACTGCTAGAGAGAGCCAAAAAGTACCCTCTAAGAGGGGGGTGAGATGCCTTAATCCTCTCAAGAATTAGGCTCTTCTAATAAATGGTTATGATTAATAACCAACTCTTTTGGTGGACAGGCCAAATTTTTCCATGAGGGTGATGCTTTAATCCTTCTCTTAATCTCATCTTAAGACGCCCTAAGATGGGTGGCCTAGATCTCATTTCTTGATAGCCTTTTTTAAGTCCAAATGGACTGGGTCAAGGTGACGTCCTCTCTTAGGCCCATAAATATATTAGGTCGGCCCTCTCCATAAGACTTGGGCTTTTCCTTAAGTTGAAGACTTGGGCTTCTTCCTTAGGCTAAAGACTTGGACTTCTTTCATTACTTTCAATTCATAATAAGAGCTCACCTAAGTCTTTGTAATTAAATCATTATCAAACAAATATGAGAGAATCACTACTTGATTTTTCTAAAGTCAAGTAGGGTTAGTCTTATAAGATAAATAAATAAAATAAAATAATATGTATCAAGACTTAAATGATAAATTATTATGAACGTCATAATGAGTCGATAATACATGTATAATTACATTCTCTACTGATTAATTAGCATCTATATATAAGATATTAATGCATAGATGTAACTACTAAAATATAATTATCACAAGGCAAGGCCTTGGGGGTTTTATTTTATTTCATTAAATTTAACTTTATCTGATACATTATTCATTACTATTTATCCCTAATTTGCATACAATAATGATATTGTAACAACTATTATGTGAAAAGTGTTAGGACTCTAAGAACTAATGCTACAAGTTAAACATATTTTTCCTAGATTGGACACTAAGAGCTTACAAGAAATCAAAATATTTTTAATCTTATTAATGAGACCCATGAAGTTATTGGTATGTTCAAATGAAGTTAACCAACAGTAATTGTTTCTTTAGACTCCTTTAGAAGTAGATAAATCTCAGCTATCATTGAATGGAAAAAAAATGATTTCACCTATGTTATTCGGTATATATATCATAGTTTTATAGTTATAAGACCTTTTAAAATGGCTAATTATGAGTAAATCTTTGTAACTAAATCATCATGGTCTGTCCACAGCAATCAGAAAACTTTAATCTTCATCACATATATTCATTGATATATTTTTTATGGTTTTATTTTTGAGAAATTTACAAGAGAAGATTGTAAAAGATGTAAGTTATTCATATCATGGTTCAAAATAATATGCCCTATCTAGTAAAACTTGTATACATGCGAGTTTAAAAGTTATTGATAGTCTTTGTATCACAAAGAAAAGTATTCTCATAAAGCACTTATTATAACTTACTTTTACAGTGATAGTTTCAATCAAATGAGTTTCTATTTGAAGATTTTTAATATTTTGGATAAATATTAGATATTTCTGGTTAGAGCATCTATTTATGTTAAAACTTAGTAAGGTATTAATATCACAATCTATTCAAATTATCAAATTTCAAAGGCGGATTTCAAATCACTAAGCCAAAAATATAAGGCTCCTTCCATATAAAAATTTAATGCAGCATTTCAAGAGTTATGGTGATTGTGAAATAAAAATCTGTGAAAAAATACATTACCTTGTTAAAATCTAACTTTTTAGGTAAACATAATGGACTTCTTTTCCATGATAAAAAGATAAATCATTTTCCCTTTTCAAAGCTTTTAATAATTATTTATTTTAAAGCCTGAAAAGTTGCTAGTTAATCCATTTGAAGATTTGATGCAGTGACAGTTCATCTAAAGTCAGCACAGAATTGGAGTCACATGATCGCATTACATCAGAGCTCATTTTCAACATATTTTGTTTTATAACTTTTGGAGATGAATTCTTGTTGTATACCCTATATTTTAGTCATGAAAATTTTCTTCCAAATTCTAGAAACTTGTAATATATATTCTTACAAATTAGCATATTCATCGACCAATGTCATACCTTTATTTTGGCAAACATGTAAAAACATAATAACTCCATATCTCCATATAATTAAAATTTTACAGTTCTAGATTGAGAGATTTGGTGCAATAAATCGAATTGTCAAGAAAAATACATTGTGTACACCTATGCAACATTTTCGGATATTCATTCAAATTTCAAAACACATCCAAAAGCTTATATGTATTCCTAATGCTAGCCATGAGATATAAGTAATTCAACTAGTGCAGAAAAAATCTCAACATTAAACTAATGATACTAACTTACACAAGTGTTTACTATTCTATCATATCTGAAAATTCCTTGTTTTTATTTGTTCCAAACTAGTTCAAGGAATTAAATTATTTTACTTTTGAACTTAAGAATGAATTATGCATGATTAGGGCATCAATATTGGACAGAGGACCGATGCTAACAATGCTGAAATGTTCCATTTTAATCACATATGAGTTATGCAAATGAGAATAGACAACGTATCAGCTTAGTACATTCTTATTACAGCACCAGATGACCTCAAATTAAGGCACTAATTTGGAATTAAAAAATAATTCGATTAAATTACAGGTGTAAAAAAAATCTTAATTATTTAATAATATTAGACTTATTCGTTTTCAATGTTTGAGCTTGTACCTTTTGCTAGCATAACTCTAACCTTTCCTTACAAGTTAGCTTCCCAAGGTCCCAACTAAACCTTTGAAATTAAAACGATCCTTCCATAATGTTAAACACTGATATCATAATAAGCTATAAAATTCAAAAACATGGAGAGCAACTTATTGAAATAAAAGTGAGGTAGGGCAATGACCCTTGTGAACATTGATGTGAGGTGTTGGCAATTTATAGAGCTTGATAGGAACCTTGCATATTTAAACCCTCAAATCCTTCAAAGTTATCGTTATCTCACCTTGGGAAGGTCTGATAACTTGAATTTCTAATTCGATTTCCAGTTACGTATGTGGATTTAGAACACCAAAGTCAACACTATATTCATAAACGCTCTTAACACTCTTGAAGCCTGTACTCTTAAAAAATGTTAATTTTCATACCTTTAACATCTTGACATAGAGGGGGAAATGCCTCAATCAATAGTGACCAAGATGCCTACACCCTCATGAAACCCAGAATTTTATTTTTCTATACGCATCAATCCTTATCCTTATATTATCAACTCCTATGTTCCCAGCTATTTTTTCTTTTGAAGAAAATTTGTAAATCAAGGTTAGCACTTCCTTTCACTTGATATTCTCTAACCTTGAATGGAAGCTTATAATATTTATGTCACTGAAATTATTCCGATATAATATTTAGATTGAAAAAAGTATCTTCCTTTTTTTGTAAGGTAATATTTTTAGAGAAATCTGTACAATGTTCTTCATGTTTTGTGAGTAAAGACCATAGAGTTAAAAATTCAAGCATAAGATCAAATCTAGCTAAAACATTTATTCATTGGAATAAATAAAAACTGACATTTAGAATAGCATTAAGCTTCCTTTAAAGCTCATCTGTCATCCCTTTTATTCAGCCTTTTAGTAGGCTTTCTTTAGGCACCCGGTTTAAGCTAATCATAAGACTGGTTTTTTGCAGTCACACAACAAAGTTCCACTAATTTTCCTTTCCGCAGTATACTCATAAAAGAGTTTCCATATTTATTTAGTAATTATTTTCGGAATAATGTAAGGTATGATCATGACATTGGTTGTTAAGGTCGCAACTCCATCTCAAAAGTGGGTCTGAGAGAGAAAAGATAGCTCTCCCTGCAAGATGAGAGATGAAAACAGACCCTGATGTGCACGAAATTGGACTGACGAATATGATAGGATGAGTAATCGGAGGTTTTCCATGAATGTTCATCAAGCAGAATTATTGCAGTTAAAGAAAAACTTTCTTCTCTTGAACAAGATCAACTTTAAAATGTTATACAGCTTTTCATAGTCAACTGATAGGAAAAATATGAAACTTGGAAGGGGTCTATATCATGTGGTTACCTTTCATAACCAGAAAGTTGAGAATTTTGAAGGCGTAGATGCAGTGCATGTGAAAGATTTTTCTTTCAATATCACCCAATATGAAGAAGGAACAAATGATTTTCAATATGGTTAAATAGGCAAATTAAGTTTTTATTAACCTCTATTAACTGAATTTAATGGCTAAAAATCCTTATTTTTTATTTCAAATAATGATACTATTTTCTATTAAATAATTTTGGTCTTGTTATGTCATGGGTTGTTTATATTCTGCTCTATTTGTCCTAACCATAGATATTTTTAAGGATCATTTAATCATTTGTTGATCTCTTACATGAATTGAACTTCTTATTTGAGATGAGAAATATACAAGAGATGGAAGAACTATTAGGTTTGTAGCATTGGTGTAAAAAAATTTATATCAAAAAAATCAATAGAAGAAACAACACAAAGTGGCATATGCTTCACCCAAATTAATGGCTTCCAAACCTTCCTATACTAAACCTCTTTTCACAAGGTGGTTCACAAGACGCCAACTACACATTCAGGTGCTCATCACGACGAACTTAATTTTTGCTTCTAAAACACTTTAAAAATGAAATAAATAAACATAAAATACTACCAATTGCGTGATAATTTGATATCTAAGTTAGTGAGAAATTTGATATTGAAGACATCATCTAGGAGCTATATGGACGTGAGAGAAGAGCTTTGAAAAAATTGAACGCATATACTTTCATTTGAGGGGAATGACATAGCTTAAAATTACCTACCATCTAGAAAATATTTTCCTCTTAAAAAGCTTGAGAATTTTTAGTTGTTTCTAATTTCTTCAATCAGTGTTTCAAGCAAAGTAGACATTGTGATTGCACTTTGATTGGAAAGGTCATCTTTTAAGTTATAGATATTTTGTTGTTAGTAAAATTCTTTACTAATGAAATAGATGGTAAACACCTTGATTCACATGCCTCAATTATGAGGCTTTAAAATAATGCATATGATCCTTGGGTTATTTACTTATTGCTATACATATCGTAGATTTAGTTCCATATATACCGGTATTTATCCTTCTGAGAAAAATTTCCATAAAAGGAAAATGAATCACTTTTCTTGTCATGAATTACTTTATTGGAGGTATGTGGAGAATGACCAAGCTAGGTCTCTAGCAAGTATGCAGATCTAAAATCCACGATGAGTCGCAAGGGGGTCTAACAGATGGACAGTGCCTCCTAGGAGAGGGTTCTCAAGGGGGTAATGCCCCCTTGGAAAAAAGTTCCTGTTAGGGGTATTATTGTCATTTATCCCAATATAGTTCCCTAAACCCATGATATAAGAGAGGGGAGCCACCACCTCTTATAGTGTGTAAGAGGTGATTCCCGCTTTGAAGGAAGAACAAGCTTGTGCAATAGTTGTAGGAGGATTCTCCAAACCATGTAAGATTTGGTGTATCTCTTCGCTCTCTCCCTTTTTTTTCTTGTGTTGGGATGATTTTAAGTTGTGCAAGGTGTGGACAGTCATTCCTAGCATCTTTGTCATATGCCATGCCAGTATTTTACTTCCTCCAAAGAATTTTTTTTTCCATTCATCATTCCTATTTGTTAAACTTTTTATTTGATTTTTTACTGAACTAAA